TACTTTTTTGTACTTGATATTATTCTATGTCCTTGTTTTAATATTATCTTTTATTTAATAATAGCAATATTTACTTTCATGCTTCTATTACCTTCACTTTTATTAAAATTATCTTTATTATCCTCTAATTTGGCCAAATTACTCCTAGAATTGTATCTTATGTCAATGGATTAAAAAAATTGCATACATATTAGTCATTTATAAAAGTTAATCTTTTTGGACTACTTTAGATAAGCTGCCTAAAGCTGGTTGCTTAAAGTCAATCTTAAGCATGCGATGAAAGAATATAATAATTGCTAAAGCACTATTATACACTTTACATTCTTATCTCAATTTTTTGATAGTAAGAAGATGTGAGTCTTAGCTTAAACTAGTAGTTTGAGCCAATGATTTCTATCTAGTTTTTTGTATAGTACTTATAGTGATCATTATCTAGTCTTTTAGTGTTAAGTGTATTTGGTGAATTATTTCTATTCTATGTTGTTTTGTGTATTTTGTGTTTTGTTTGTATGTTATATTCTATGTGTTTTGTAACTTTTGTTGTTTATGAATATTCAAAAGATTTTAGCTTGTTGGTTCTAAGCACTGCTTTTAAGATATTTGTGTATCAAATTTATTTATCTATCAATAGACTTTGCATTCATAAAAAAAAATTAAAGCATATATATTCTAAGATAAATATATATTATTTACACATGAAAAGCCACATATTCATCTTAATGCTTTATATATATGATATCTTTATTATTAGTAGTATTATAAAATTAATCTCTTATCTAAAACAAATTTATACAAGAACTTAAAAAAAACCAATCTATAACAAGTAAAACAATATTTAATATTCCTAACCTATTTGAAAAGGTTACCACAAAAACCTTAATGTATTAGGGAGACTGTACTCAATCAATCATAAATAACTTTGGTATGCTTGAATGTAAACTAATACTTATCTTTTTATTAAAAGAATTACTTTTGACAACAAAAATAAATTTATTACACACCAATGCCATCAATTATTATAAGTTAGTAAAAAAAAATAATCTTTCTAATCATAATAAGATCCAACATTGCCTTTGTTATTAATAAAGTCAATAGTTTTATGCCATATATTCAAAAAGCCTATTTAGAGGCTACAAAGTATATCTTCTAATATATCCCAAATATTATGGACTATAATATATTATATTAAGAGCATATTTTTTTTATTTAAGACTATCTACATAGATGCCAATTGGAGATCAAACCTTAAAATAAGGCAATCATATAGAACATTAGAACATATATATATTTACATTAATAAAAAAACCAATCAGCTATTAATCTAAGCAACAACTAAAAATCTCAAAGTCATAAACTAAATTAGAGTATTGAATCTTTAATGATGGTGCATAAGAAGAAATACGATTATATTGTAGTTTGATGAACTAGAAGTATATCCACTATCAAAGATATCTATTTATTGTACTAACAAAAAAATCAACAATAATTTTTTTTATAATTCAAAACTAATTCTATATTCAAATAATCAATGACCTGTAAAACTAATAAAAAATCTAATATTTCATGTACATATAAATCATATAGGAATTCATCACCATTTAATCAAAGATAGATTTTCAAAGGGAGACACAAAGCTTTAATATATTGAAACAAATGCTTAGCTAATAGATACACTAACTAGAGCTCTAGAGAAGCAAAAATTCCAATTCTATAGACCAAATCCAGGAATACAAAGTGTTTTTGACTTACAAACCTAATTTTATATTAAAACTATATAATAATTTTTTCTTTTAAAATAAATTATATAAAAATTATAATACTACTAATTACATAATCATTACCTCAAAAAGATTTATAATAATAACTATACTTATCAATTTTATGATTTGAATAAAATAGAAGAAGAACTAAAAACTTATCAACATTACAAAATATATTGTCTAACTCCAAGGGCATATACTTGACATCATAAGAGGCTGCAAATTGCTTTATATCTACATGATATATTATCCAACTTTAGAAAAAATCACCATAATGCATACTAGAAAAAAAATCATTGATAATGCATCATTGACAATATCAAACACAATACAAAACAACTAATACAGTAAAACAAAGATTGTCCAAATACACAATAAAATGAGATCATTCACAATTATTTTTTAGTGTATTACTTGACATCTTCTTTGGGTTTATCTACTAGATTTTAGGATTTAGAGTTTGATTTAATTATCTAAATTTAATTTATTGCATACCAAGTTTTAGGATTTGATTTGATTGTTTGAATTTAATTTATTGCATACCAAGTTTTAGGGTTTGATTTGTTTTTTTAAATAAGACTATATTTATAAAAAATATTCAAAAAATTTACATGACTACAAAATTTTAACTATAGATCTATTACATTTTTTTTAATTCTAAAATTAAAAATTATTTTAATTTAATAAATATTGAATCATCCAAAATAACCTTGACTTTATAAAGCTTTTACAAACTCATTATCTACTTAAATTCTTATAAAGAAATACTTCAATAAATTTATTTAAGTTTTTTCTCAAACCACACTTTTCAATCAATAAAAAAATCCACAATTGCCTTAGGTGCACAGTTTTATGCCTTATGGTCTAGTTTCAACCCTAGTTCACAAATGGTCCTCTTTGGATATCAATCTAAGGATTTTTGTTAAAAACTACTATTCAATTTCTTTTCAAAATGCCTATTATATTAAATTTTTTCTAATCTACCTTTTTTTATCTTATTTATAGTTCTAAAATTTGGTAAAAAAATCTTTTCACGAAAAAATAACATTAACACAGTTTTTTTTACTCTTCATTATTTTTATCTATATTTTTTAAGGTAATTTTTTATAATACTTAATTAAGCTCTTTTATAATATAATCATTATTTGTTTTAACTAATAGAACATATTAAAATAGAACATTGCTTAATAGCCTAAAAATGATTAAATTCAATTTATTTCTCTCATACTCTTGCAACAACTAACAATTTCTTTAAATAATAAAAAATAGAATATAATTCAAGCAATCTTAGAAGGAGTGTTGGAATTCTCATTCATTATAGATTGTAAGGTGGCATTCATCTAGCATGTTGGATGAGCTTAGATACTTAACTGCAAGGTCACATTCATCTAACTCAGATGAATTTAAGTTATTTACATTGTAGGAAGTAAGGTCTTAGTTGCAGGATAAAAATCTCACTGTACAATATATTTTTCAATTGATTTTCTTTCTTATCTTAAGTCAAAGTACATAGGGTCTTGTTGATAGATGATGCCAAGACTTCACCAATAAAATTGCCACCACTATTATTGGCACCCTTCAACATTTAAATAGCCAACAGTTGATAACATGTCCCATTGGCGTAATTCAAGACATCCAAATCTTCATCTACAAGATACCTCACCTCATAATATTAATTGTATTAATTGTGATCCGCTAAGGATATAGTAGCCAACACATTAAATATGTGAACCAGGCTGAACTTTACTTATGATTTGACAAAAGACTGCACCATTTTTCAAACACATGCAGGAGGAATTTGAAACGAATTATTAAATAGAATGTCGATGAACTGTAGGAATAGAACATAAATAAGCTCCGTTGTAAGAGGAGTGAAACGAGAGATTTAAGAGGAGCATTCTAGCAGCTACAATATAAGTGAAGCATATCCAACGTTGACAAATTCAAAAGTATTCTCCGTTTCCCCTACAGTCCACAGAGTGTGAAAACTTAAAGCTATTTTGTTGTTCGTCGGTGCAAATTGAATGCTTCGCGTTTCTGATAGCGTCAACTCGTTGTCCTGTTATGAGCCTGCAGAAACTTTAATCATAGAGGAAAAGATTGGGTTCAAGGTAACGATAGTAAGATATTGTTCTGCACGTGGTACAACGGAGTTTCTAAATTCTACCTGACTTTTCATCTACGAAAGTCTCCAGACAACAATGGATATTTGCTCGAGAAGCCTGATCAATTAACTACGAGATCTAGACTAGAAACCAAATCAACAGGACAAAACCGGCTTCCACGGATCTTTTCGATGTCAGTTGTGTTTCAATCAGTCTCGCCCCCACGTCCCCACTCCCAGCTTCTATGAACATCAAATCAATAATACTCTCTTCTGGATCGCTACCATATAGGAATCCCGTTAACATCTCATGGTTTGGAGGAGGTCGATTGGTGAAGTAGAGATTGCTGTTTCCCCCGTATTGAGAAAAAAAAAAAAAAAAAAAACGAGAAGGTATTGTATACTGGAATCCATCGCTGTAGATGATCACATTTATCCATCAAATAGCATATCGCTTTTTCATGAGCTCATCGTGGCCGTTGCCTCAACCTTGCATCCTTCCGAAATTTCACGGCCCGCATGATCTTTACCGGGTCCCTGATGCTGCAAGGCCCATTTTTTCCAAAATCGTCTCTAGATTTGTCCGATTATCTTACAAGGTTGAGCCGATTGGGGTTGTGCTTCTGTTTAAATGAGCAGTTGATGCTCTCGGCAGAAATAGATTTGCTTTGGCTAGATAGTTCGAATCCCCGATTACTAAATTTGATTTGATCCATCTAACATCTGCTCAAATGCTTCTTGCATATGGATTTAGTAAGCCTTTGTGAAGATGTGAAGCATCACAAAGTGACCTCAATCTCTTGTTTGTGAGAGCAAACGCTAAAAATTGCAACATTAGTTTCAAGCTCAGCATCAACGTTTATTGGTGGTAAAGGTTTCATGCACCAAGATTTACAAAAAGTTCAAGAATTTGCGAAGTTGGTCATGTCTGTATGAAAGGCAGATGTTGAACAAGTCAAATCTTCGTGAAACTGTGAATCAAGACAACAGTTTTAGAACCAATCAGTAGTAGAGAATACACAAAGCTGTTCCCAAAACCTCCCTAAAACAAATCTCATTCATACACTTCACTGGTATTCGAAAATGTAAAACAAATTCTAACTACATTGGGTCCCTGTTTGTAGACAACCCAGAGGTGGAGGCACAGGAAATCTGCACATTGACCTAAAATTGAGGAGTGCAGCAACAAAGTCCCCACATCTTCGTAGTTCAATGTCACAAACTAGAGGAAAGTGAGTTGTGCGTGGACAGAATTTGCATCCTTTCAAGTCCATGAATCATAAAATGATAATGCTACAATACACAAAAAAACCTAGACGTTGACGAGAACTACTGCTTGAACCTAAAAGTTTTGAGAGTGTGCTCAACTAGCTAACACTGAATTGCAACTCCAATACCCCTTCAATATCAATACGAAAACCTCAAGCGAGTGGAAGAAAGGAGCAAGAGATTTTTCTTTGATTAAAATGAGGACCTAACTGCACTCCACAACACTCAGGTAGCTCTAAGTTTGATCTCTTGCGACGCTTCCAGATGCAGAAGCCGCATCAGACCCTCTTTCTGGGTATTCTTCAAACAGAGACTTGTATATGTCACTCGGACTCCGAGCCCACGAATTCTTTGAAGGTTTTTCTGCTCCAGGCGGGGATTTCTTTGGAGGGGTAGTGTGGACGGTAATTGGTAGAGTCCATTCACCCTTTCGACGTTGGCTTACATCTATCAACATTGGGTGTTCAAACTTATTCCAGTCCACGTTTGATGGGGTAGCTACAAACTCAAAGCGGAGGATCCATTCTAGGGACAACACAGGGGTAACCATAGATGCAGGACCGTCCAGAGGTATGGAGAACATAAACTGTGTGCTGATGACGTCATTCACGATCTCGTAGTACTCGGAATGGACCTACCAAATCACGATGTTGAATTCAAAGGTTAACTTTGCAAAAAGAATAATATAGGTCATAAAAATGGACAGAGATATGAAAACACGGGCCATCTGTCCAACTGGTAATGTCCAATTGTCTTGTATAACTTTCTTTTCTGTTATTCTGTTCACCAAAAGACCAAAGACAAATTTATGCTTCTGTATCTAGAAGAGGATGATAGACATGCTGACAGAATTCGAATACCTTTGTAATTGTTGAGGAATTTTTGCGGGAAGGGTGTATAGATGCTGGATTTAATATTTCCCTTGTTTCTAAAACTGCTGTCACCTGCATTCCAACCACAAAGACACAAAGTTAGGCAGAAAACAGTTATTTACTCAAATACCCTAAGAAAGCGTTAACACAGTACGGCAAACTAATAGTAATGAAGAGAATTTGAATCAAGTTCTACTACCTCTAAGCACCTCCTCTTGTCGTCATGGAAAAATTGTAAAGTTCCAGCTACCTGCGGATTGCAAAAATGCTGGGTAAGAACTTTGAACGAGTGAAATAGTACACAAGATTAGATTGCTGCTCCTGTCGATCCCTCTTTGCATGCAAATCCTGAAAACTACAAATGATACAGACAAGTGCCAGTGACACCAATCCAGGCCAACACAAGAATGTGCACATTAAGATTTAAAAAAGAAACTCATGATGAGGATAATGATGATGAAGACGACAATGATGCAGGAGGCAAATAGGGATATCAAAGAATGCCTCCACAACTAGCTCACATGAACGACGTTCACAGGATGAAGACAGTCGGTGGCAACCATGAAAGGGTCACAAATAAAGTGCAACCGGGAAACAGAGTAATGTCATGAATAAACACACACCACATCACCAAAATAATATGTGGATGTTGGATTCTTGGGCGAAAACTTGACAAGCACATCGTCGTCCATCCGAATATTGTAAGACTTCCCTCGGTTATAGACAGCTGCACAAGAAGTGCAAATTCATCGCCGGTTCGTGAGCCAATTAATTGGTATTACTGCTAGACCAAAATTCTCCTCATGTCATTCCAAATCCAGGTACAGTATACTTCCGACAAACAGATGAGGCAAGTAATTTCGGAGTTTACACTCGTGAAGTGATACAAACATACCAGCCGGTGAATGCGGAGAATCTAGAACACTTTCCTCCTCAACCCTGTGGCCATGGCTGAAGTCACCTCCATTCACATGATGATGGAAACTTGCAAGTAATGCTTCATTTGTCAAGCTATCAAAACTGCACGCTCTTTTATGTCCTAACCCGGAATCAAGAGCACCATGTTGCTTCGACCCTGCATATAAAGGGCGATATCGTTTTAGAAAATAAATAAATAAATAAATAAAAAGAGGAGGGGGGGCTCAGTGATCAACTTGTGATATCTAGACCCATTTCATAAGAGGGTGTGCATCGACGAACGAGCTCGAAGAGAACTCACTTGCAGGAGTTGAAGTCAAATCAGCCATTGATGCAGATGTAGAAAGTGAGTCTCTTCTGCTTAAAGATGGAGTAGAAAATGAGGGGTCCAGCTGTAGTGGAGTAGCTCGAGAGGAAATTGAATACGAGCGTTCGAAGCGATCCAAGGAAATTGACTTTGTAGGGCTTGTAAATGTAGAACCACCATCAGACTTTGGAGTACTGACCCTGTCTTCTCCATTCCTGGAATCAGCAGCCCAAGCCTACACAGACCTTGACGTATTAAACACTGCGGTAGTAGTCATAACTACAGTAAAATCTTTGAAGTTTAAAATGAGTGCGATGTGATGGTAAGAAAAACATAGCAAGGTTTTCAAAGTGATTATATGCTGAGTTCCCAAAATTGAAGGATATGGTCGGATCAATTATGCAAAACCTTTAAACCTTTAAACCTAAACGCAATGCATCATTTTATTCACCGAAATATACGTATTTAGGTCAGAAATTTACCCAAACACTATCACTGTTATTCTCTTTCCATTGAATCTCAACTTCCAAAGCATACGGGGGTACAATTCCTGTAAGAATTACGTATTATGTCAATACGTATTACATCATCGTACTCAAGACCCTGGTAAAAGCACGAATTTACATGACAAGCTAAAGAAGCAACGTGATAAAGCTAAATCAGTATTTGGTACCCACATTGTTTCCTACGAAAGAGGCCAAATCATGAATGGGCAATTATAAGCAAGATATATACCAGACTGGCCATAGTGCGATTCGTCAAGCGTCAGCCCGTTGGTGTCCGGTAGCGTCCAGATAGGCAACGCAGTCCGTACTTCCTGAAACAACGATAATACAGTACACACTTTTAGGCAACAGCTTACTCACTCTAACACAGTATAATTTTGACAAAAAGGCATCTTAGTTATGAAATCAGAGATGACAAACATATTCATTGGGCTTTGGGCTCAAACATCTGAAACATTGTAGGTTCTAAAAAGCAATCGCACCACTTTGGTAGCAATTATGGATCAAGTTCACCAAAACAATTCAGGACATTTTAGCGAAGTATTAGGAGACATTTGATCCGGCTGAAAAACCCAAATTCAAATGCGGTCTATCACCTAAAAAGTCCCATGCATAAATTCGTCCTAGATATTTGGTGCACCAAAAAAAATCAACTATATTCCACCAGTGTTACAGGTGGCCTTGAGATCAAAACTATTGAGATAAGCTTCGTTATTGTGGTTAGGGAAGAATAAACAGTTCAAAAGAAATCAGTAGAAATAACGCCACTGCACCTAAATGTATTATCATCTCAAATACAAACCTTAACAAGTTTCAGGTTCGTGATAAGTATTCGATACCAATCTCAATTTTAAGGTAAATAATCGATCCTAGGTCACTGAAAACCCGGGCTCTAGACGTCTGGAACAAAATTGCAACCGGTTGCTGCCTCAGAAGTATGAGACGGACTTTCAGATAATGAAACTGGGGCACCGATGACCTCGCAAGGTTGCTAATCACCAACAAGTTTGGCGATTTTATATACGTTGCGTTTGTTGTTAATAATAAATGGTGATGCTGGTGATATTAGAGGAGCTTCACATGAATTGGGGTAAGAAAGAGAGAGCAGCCATTTACCAGACGTTCAAAATTTGCAGACGAAGAGGGACGATGTCCATTTTCTGGAGCACAACGTGACCAACGAATGGCGGCAGTGATGTAGTAAAGATACCGTACTGCAGTGCCTCGAAATGTTGGGGGCAATACTCTAGGAAGAATCGTGCGTACCATATCTGTGGTAGATGGACGCCGAACCCCGACAAATTCAGAACACAAGCAAGTTGTACTTACAAAGAAGAAACCAGTAAGACCCTCAACAGCAGAACCGATATTGTTCAATATGCTCACCCTGGAGATAAAAAATCTAAATATAAATGTTTCAAAAAATAATAATAGTTACTCCCCTTGTGAAACCAGACCTCTGCATTTACTGAAATTTATATGCATTCGTTTTCAACCGTTTGAACATCTTGAGTTAAGGAAAGTTTTATATGAACCAGCGACTGTCTATAAATTGCATTCCCGCATATTTTCGGATAGAAGGATACTCACAAGAAATCTTAGAGCCTTGAGGGATAACGACATCGGCAGTAATTACAGCTGAAGAAGACTTCAATATCGTCCTTTCTCCTGTACGAAAGAAAATGTGACAAGGTGTCAACAACATATTGCAGGTGAAGCAATTTTGATATTCTAAAGGGCAAAGGGGAAAAACAAGTCAAATAATCAAAAGTCGTAAACACGGTAAAAGGTCAAAATGAATAAAAACCAACGCTAGAGTTCAGATAACCTTCGTATTAAACCCATTTAGGATGATAGTTCTCCAACCTCACTCCATTATATAAATGACATCCATACAGAGGATACAATCAACCATAAAGCAAATGCAATAGGCACACTGGTATTAATTGCATTATGATGTCAACATGAAACAAGAGTGCAGCCAAGGTCTCCGCACTTGTATTATCACAACTTGGTTGAAGATCAAGAATGAAAACCATTTAAGCAGAATGATGGAGAAGACTGTAGATTGAAAATGTATTATCAAATTCAAAATTGTTTTGCGCCTCCAGAGCTTCAAAACAATTGCCACCCACTTAAGCACTGTGCAAATAAGATAGAAACAGTGGTTGCAAACAGATCTTGCAGGAGAGTAAATACGAGTAAGCGGAGGAAAATGATATTACAAAGAAACTCCAGGCATTCTCAATTAATAATGTGAGTCAGGTTTGGGGCGTTAAACAGCAATGACCTCTTCGTTGCTTCGACCCAGCCGGTGGTTTTGGAGTAATAAGCCATTGCGGATCGAGTTTCTCTATGCCTCGCACTTCCACTGATATGTCCTCCATCAAAACTGCGTCAGCCATCAGATCCCGCACCATTCCAAATTTGTCCGGATGCGTGTCATTAGTGATTTCGATAGTAGCAACTACTGTGTCACCCGGTCTGTAAACTTTTCTCTCTAAAGTGACTTTCAGAGACGGTGGAGGGTGTCGAGCTATCCTTGGTAAACCTGGAGCCAAACCGAGGCCTGATTCATGCCCATCAGTTAGAGCCTTCCCCCTTCGCCCAAGAAAGGGGAACGACTCCAGGAACGACATCGCACTACAGCTTAGCTCTAACTAACGTCACAGAACCGAATCCCAATCACCCAGTCCACTCAAGGACACCAACATTTTCATCACTAAATAAAATCCCCCACTAACTCCAGAACATTCACCTATTCATTCACTCCCTTTAGAACCACCACGCTTTCAACCTCAGTCGTGAAATATCCGCAGCACCATCGCCGGATACTACAATGCCGATGTCAAATAAATAAGCACCTTTCCTAGATGCATCTCCTCCCCCATCTCGGAAAAGCATCTAAAAACCAAAACCTTGACCGATCTCCTCTCCGCACAATCAACTCCTCTTGCATTGATCAGCACCACTAACCACCACCTCAAACGCTAAAACCTGATCCAACACTGCACTCTCCAAACCTGAAACATCTACCCCACCTCCGTAGCCGTCCAATAGACCCCCAAAATCAAAGTCACTACAACCCCATCCTCCTGCGCTCTGCTCCGGTCGACAACACAGACCCCAATCCCGCCAGAATCTCCTCACAAGTCAACCATCGAAACGACCTCCGCGGATCTAGAAAGAACACAACATCAACCCTAAATTCCACGCTGCAATGGCGCCCTGTTCCGTTCCCGCAACCAACTCCACCTCAAATAGAGCCACCACACCTGAGAGCCCTACAGCAAGAGCACAGAATGACTAAGATCATGCGAGAATAAGAGGATGGCCATGCCAGCAAGGCTGGGGGAGGAGGGGAGGAGACGGGGGATGGAATTGGCCGAGCAACGGAGCTCGCTGCACTCGGAGCAGCAGCACCACATTAGAAGGCCCAGCCCAAATAGCGTTTAATGCGCATGACAAGCGCAACGGAGGATCCCACGGCGCTGGGTCGCCGTTGGGAACGCACGGGACCAGTTCCGACACACGTTTCAGGGAACTTTGGGAACGTGAATAGCGTTGCTTTGGGCCCTTACACAGTCCCCGTCTTTAACGACGGCTAGCGGCAGCGCCGGGGTTCGTTGGTGGGTGCCGCTAATAGCCGCTCCTGGCTCCTTGCGGCATCCTCTTCGACTCGCCCTCTTCATTACACTTCGGGTCTGTTTTGTATTGTGGTTCCTTTGCCGATTTAAATTAGTGTTCTTTGCTTTGTTGTTTTGTGTTATGTTGTTATTGTTTAGATACATTTTGCTTGTTTGATGTTTTTGGATCCGTTTTCTTTCTGTTGCTTTGCTGTTTATCAGAGGGATTGGATTGGGCAGAATCTGCTGTTATCAGTGCTTTATAAAACCTGCAACAAATCATTTAAATGTGGAACAAGTTTTTTGATTGAATAATGATTTGGTTTTAATATCTATTTTTCTATCTTGCTGCTTCGTTTTGAACTTGACTTGATTAGTTTGGTTTCGCTCCTTTGAGATGACAGTAAGCCTTTCAACTCTCTGGTTTGCATTTGCAATTTTTGTAATTTGGTTTGGTTAACTCTAAAGGAGCTTTTAGGGCAGTAGCAATGAAAAAGAAAAAATTAAAACAAAACAAAATAAAAATAAAATCTTGATTATTGCTGGTGTAAAAGCATCAATTTATGCATTGGAAACAAGGGAAGATGAATCATTAGAAACAAATAAATGCCAAAGAAAAGACAAGTAATGGCAAGAAAGAAGTAGAGTGCAATTCTGACAAGCCAGTAAGACTTTGCATCCAATATCCCCCTTTTTCATAATGAAGAAAAATGTGAAAAATCGAAAAAGAGAAAGAAAAAGGAACATGTTGCATTTTACATGGGGTACTTTAAACTTGATCACACACTTTTCAAAATTAAAGAATAAAATTATTTCACAAAAAAATAAAAGAAAAAAGAAAAAAGAAAAATTGCACATTGATGGACAAATAGACCACACACATTTGTTCCTATCATTTTTCCTATTCTATCATTTTTATTCTAAAACTGAATAAGTGTTGATAGTAATGCACTCTTATTGACCTCCTTTATTCCTCTGATAACAGCATTTGTTTTTGGGCAGTGTGGATCGCTGCCCGAATGGATGATAAAGAAAGAGGATGAATGCATATTAAGATGAATGAAAGTCCTGCCTGCCTCGAAGGCGTCATGCCACGGCGAGATCATCTCCAAGTTGGGTGCGCCAGACGTCTACGCTCGCTGCCTGCGCTGGATCACGGGCCATTTTCAGCCCCAATTTGTTCCTGTCGGGTGCCAAGCTGAGCTCCCTGGGCTTGTAAAAACGTCGCTGCAATCGTGGCAATTCCAAATTTTTGCGCAATTCGAGAAACAATGGTGGGAGCAGTGGCGGTCACGTCCGGTGATATAAGATTGGAGGTGGGCATTGCGAAAAGCAGGCTTGCCGAGAGCCTGAGCTTGCATTCGCATTCGTCGTGGTCTCTGCGGGTTGGGAGCACGAAGGAAGCCAAGATGGTGCCATCGCTCGTAGCAGCGGATGCCGGAAAGAAGCCTTCAGGGATGGTTGCAGCGAGCGCGTTGCCATCGTCGCAGGGGGTAGCTGAGACCGCCGCCCTTGGGGCACCTGCAGTGTCTCTGGAGAAGGTTGTTGCCGATTCCTCTGAATTGGTAGCGAGTGATGGATCTGGGTCTGTGCTGAAGAATGGGATAGAGGGTATCAGGGACATGGCGCGTCGGCAGCGGACCGGTAGCTCTCCAACCACATTCTCTGCCAAGTTTGTGCCGTTTTCGCCTGGACAGGAGACTGACGAGGAATACTCCTTGGATGAGGTGATTTACAGGAGTAAGACTGGGATGCTGTTGGATGTCCAGCATGACATGGAGGCTTTGAAGAGAGCTGGAGATGGGAATTACTGGAAGAATTTGTTCGATTCGAGGGTGGGGAAAACGACATGGCCTTACGGCTCTGGAGTGTGGAGCAAAAAAGAGTGGGTATTGCCAGAGATTGATGACGATGACATCGTGAGTTTGTTTGAAGGCAATTCCAACTTGTTCTGGGCTGAGCGGTTTGGCAAAGAGGTGCGTTTTTACAGTGCAATGTCTTAACTTCCTTTCAAGTGTTGATTTTCGATTCGAAATGCTGCTTGGAAAATCGTTGGTGTAGGTCTAAATCAAACACTAATCTAGAAGCCCCGCCCGTTTTACTAGTCTCAATTATTCAAGGATTTAGCCGAACATCATTCAAATTGGTTATATTTTCAAGGTATCGTATGCTAAGGTGTCGATTATGAGGTGAAGGGTAACATGTTAAGAGTTTCTTCCGCTTTCTTTGCTTTGGTTGGTTTCCGTTTCCGAACATACAGTGAACGAATCCTGAACGACTAGATTCTTGTGCTCCTTATGCATCGGCAAGGCGGTACGTTGTAAGTTTCGCTTGCGAGACTAGGTAAGTCGTGTTTATCATCCTTATCACCATTCTTTAGCGCCGATGACTTGGATGCTGATTATATGGTTTAATTGGGCAGCGACAGCGTGCAATCACATGATAGAAAGGGTCATCGGAAGTTACCATATTGTGCAACGGGCAATATGTGCCTTTTGACAGCTTGTTTATGTCCCTTACCAAAATCGTGGTTCGTAGGTTCTCTGCCAGTTGTAGCCGTAAGTTGACTCCTCTAGATTCCCCTCTGTTTGTGCGTGCTCGACACTTAAAAAACTCCTTACGTCTAGGATTAGAAAGTTATCTCAACATTTATGAAGTAGCTTATGAGGATCCATTCACGGTAGGCGGCTACGAATTTTTTGAACTGATTCTTGATTGAGCAAGTTCGTTTTAGTTGTTTCCACTATCGTGTAAATAGCAATGGCTTCTCCTTAAGTGTTCCCTACCAAATTCACGTTTTACAACTGTGGCGTTCTAGCAGGTCCTGGACATGACTGATTTATGGGTGAAGCACTGCGGTATCAGTCACACAGGCTCGTTCAAGGACCTTGGAATGACCGTGTTGGTTTCTCAAGTAAACAGGTTGAGGAGGTTGGGCAAGCCTCTTCTGGGGGTGGGATGCGCTTCAACAGGGGATACATCGGCAGCTCTCTCAGCTTACTGTGCAGCCACCGGAATTCCTGCACTCGTCTTCCTTCCCGCGAACAAAATTTCCATAGCTCAACTGGTGCAGCCAATCGCCAACGGGGCCTTGGTTCTAAGCATGGACACAGATTTCGATGGGTGCATGCGGCTCATCAGGCAGGTGACTTCAGAGCTCCCCATCTACCTCGCAAACTCACTCAACAGTCTCCGCCTGGAGGGTCAGAAAACGGCTGCGATTGAGATTCTGCAGCAATTCGATTGGGAGGTTCCAGATTGGGTAATTGTACCCGGAGGAAACCTTGGAAACATCTACGCATTCTACAAAGGTTTCTACATGTGCAAGGAGTTGGGTTTGGTGGACAGAATGCCTAGACTCGTCTGTGCTCAGGCGGCGAATGCCAACCCTCTCTACAGGGCATTCAAAAACGGCTGGGAGACTTTCCAACCGATCAAAGCTCTCCCCACTTTCGCATCAGCGATTCAAATCGGAGATCCAGTTTCCATTGACAGAGCCATCTACGCTTTGTCCCAGGCCGATGGCATTGTGGAGGAGGCCACGGAGCAAGAGATCATGGATGCATGTGCTCAAGCAGACAAGTCTGGAATGTTCACTTGCCCTCACACAGGCGTTGCTCTGGTTGCTTTGCAGAAACTGAGGCAGCGTGGCGTCATCGGTCGCAACGACAGGACAGTCGTCGTAAGCACCGCTCACGGACTCAAATTCACCCAATCTAAAGTCGAGTATCATTCTTCTGGGCTGCCAGCAATCACAAGCCAGTTTGCTAATCCTCCCATCTCGGTGGCTGACGATCTGGACTCCATTATGGACGTCCTTCGCCAAAAGCTCTCCCTCAAATGACCCACCTCCGACGTCATTTCTAGCGTCTCCACGCTCGATGTAGATTACTGTGAGTGGCTCGAGCTACGGTCATGTAGAAAAGCGCTTTCACTCCCTCTAAAACTAGCGGTTTTGACTCACAACTAGCGGCACAAAATGTTTCTTCAGAACTTGTTCCTTTCTACATATAATAACTGGTTTTTCATGGACCTTAGGAGTGGGCTTCCTGTGTGTGCCCCTTTGGCTATGATACCAACCATGGTGGGCATTTCTAGTCTCCAAACATGGGAATAGAGGAGAAGAAGATGGGTTGGAGAATGAATCTTAAATGAATTCCACGATTGTTTTATTTTCAATGTAAAAAACTGAAAATGTGACGGTTGTTGAATGCAAAGCAACCAGAGCAACGCCACGCTGCCTCAGTTTCTTCTAAAAAATGAGGCAGACAAGCCACCTACACCTTTTGCCAATGCTAAATAATAAATTAGATTTGTATAAATATTAATATTATTTTTCATATTTTTAAAATTAAAACATGAAAATTTATATTAAAAATACCAATAAAAAAATTCTCTTATTAACTTTTTAAATATTCTTTTAAAAATTAAGTTTGCTTTCTATAAATCTTTAAAAAACTTAAAACACTTAATCAATCAATATTTTGTAAAAGAGTTTTTTTTATTTGATATACAAGCAATTGGAAATTTGAATCAATTACTATGTAAATTAATTTGACTATAGTACATTATATTATAATACATTTCTAAAAAGATTTCGACCATAAACCTCATCACATCTAACCAATAATTAATAGATGATTAAATGTGATGGCAAATAGAATATCAATATAGTAAAAATTATGGTTGCATGTAGTGAATAGAAAAATGCAATGGCAATAATAAACATTATTAAATACTAAAGAATCATCAAAAAAGTCTCATTAAATTAAAAATAAATTTTAAAAAGGTTTAAATAATGAATATTTTTTATTTTTTTATAAATAAATTATTTAGATTGAATATATATATATATATATATATATAGCTATCAACACGTGCAATATGTAGCTAATTTGTTGGCTAAGTTTCTAACATATCAATCACCTATAGATACATATAAAGGCGAAATTGTGTCTATGAAGCTTTTAGAAATCTTTTTTATAAGATATTATCAAATTAATCTATTTTTATCTATTTATAATATCTAAATAATTATTAAAATAAATATGTATGTTTGTGATATTATGCCACTTTTCAGAGACAAGCTCCACAAGGAACAATGATCATATTTTGAAAAAGTTCAAAATATGGCAAATTATATTTGCCACATACTTTTATCTTTCTTTTTTTTGAAATAATTGATAGGTTCTCTTAGCCATTGATAATGTCCCATTTTAGGGTGAAAAGACCACTATGTTATTTAATCATTATTGAGGCCTTCATAACTTTCTTAAAACAAAATATTTGTAACACTATCAGAAGTTGTTCCTACTTCCAATAAAATCACCAAACATTGGGAGTTTCTTCTAAGGTTGTGATACCAAATGCATTGTATTTTTCCATTTATTCAAGAAAGAACATATTTTTCTTGAAGTTTTTTATTTTAATTATGTCATTTTGAAGGCTATAATAATCATAATATCTTGTTTGATAAGTCAACAAACAATGGTTCCTTAGTTGAATTTGTTAGCTATTGGTATTCTATCTCCTTAGTGCCACAAATATGTAGAAAATACGAACAATGATAGAAGGTTATTTCCAATCTTTTTAAAATTACAATTTTTTTTTATAGCAAAGATTTGCTATTCTTTATCTTGATTTTGAAGGATGTTATTGATGAAAAGTATCAATTTTTTTTGCTATTTTTATAAGATTATTAATTGACTTCTATGTATTTTTATTAATATCATATTTGTACCAATGAATAAGATATTTTAAGATATTTTGATATTACCTTGAATCTGAGACTTCTTCAATATTGTATTCTTAGTTATTATTCACTTTTATAGAAAGACATGGCATTTTTTATCTTATTAATATTTCTATTGTCTTGTATGGCTCATGAAGAGCCACATGGAATACAAGATAGATCTTCATAGACTCCAATAGGTATAATTAATAAGCAATTAGATTAATCTATTTACATATAGAAAATGGTCAAAGTTTATAGTAATCTAACTTGCCACAAGGACAAATAGTCTTGATATTACAATGAAATAACCATACTTTTTTGCTAATATAGAATTGAAGTTATTCCTTGCAATAAGCATTCACATTGATCTTTTGTAGTACTTCCACTTCTTTTAGTTGCACCTTTATCTTTGCATGTAGCTCTAATAAATAGTTTTCCAAATCTTTTATAATAGGATTATCAAATTTTAAAAATTCAAAAGTATCAAGTCATAGATCATAATCATAATTAACAAAGATAGATGTTTGTTAATCAAAAGAATGTATCTTGTTACTATAATCAAACTCTATCAAAGGTAAAAAAAATTGTCTAATTATCTTCTTTTTAATTAATGGTATACCTCAAATATTATCCTATAATTTAATGCACTTGCTACATTTGGCCATAAATTTGTAGATAAAAAGCCAAAGATAGTTTTATACCTCCCTTCAAAATCTTGAAAAGATTTTTCTAAAGTTTTAATATAAATTATATTTTCTTATCTAATATAATATTTTTTAGTAATGCATGATAGCAATAGATGTTATTAATGAAAAGCTTAGATGTTTTTTATCTCTAATAATTTTTTTACATGATATAAAATATATCATCTTGGTGAATTAATCTACTATTACAAATATAGAGCCAAAAGAACTTGAGATTGGAAGATCTATGATAAAATCATAGAAATAAAAGACCATGATAGTTTTGAAATAAATAATGGCTGAAGAATTCTATAAGATCAATAATGAGGAATTTTTGATCTTGAATAAATGTCACATGATTGTACAAAGTTTTAAAATGCCTTCCACATTTAAGTCCACCAAAAATCTCTAGAAATTAGTTTCAAAATTTTATTGAATGCAAAATATTTGGCTCCTAGAAAGTTGTTGTCATGGACATATATATTTATCTCAATAGTTATTTATATGATTAGATAGAAGTAGGTAAAATATAGATTAATTTTATAAAATATTTTAGATAATTTTCTTGAAAGCTTCATAGACTCGATTTTGACTTTAGATATTTTTATAGGTTAGAAACTTAGCCAACAAGTTAATCATGTCTTGGTAGCTTATATAATAAGTTAATTCCATGTGGTAGCTTGTAGAACAAACTAACTATGTAGCGCATATATAGATAACTTGCCTTGAAAATTAAGAAATGTGGCTAGCAAAGTCAGTACATCTTGGAGGTCCTACAAAATATCACTACGTAACTCTTAATTAGAAAGTATATATGGAAGTAAAGTGAGAATAAATTTACAACTATTGCGGATCTTCATGAGCTTTTCAACACTCTTAGGGTGGAAATTTTATGCATCATCAAAGTCAATCATAGGAGCATTACTTCTATATCTATGAAAGAAGTCTAAAATCTACATTAAGAAGTTATGCAGTTGAGGGAAACAAGTCGATGAGCCTCACAACCAAATATAAAAGGTCTTGCTTCTACAAGCTCAAAAGTGATAAGAATTAGTATGCTTGAGAAGTTTGATAGAACAAGATCAAAATTTTGAGGAATTTTACAATAAGTTAAATTCTACTTAAAGTTAGACGCTTTCCAATATACAGTTGGATTTACTCAAGTCAGCTTCATAGGCACACTTCTATTTGGAAGTATTTTTTCTTGGTTTTCACCTTTGATGGAAAAGGATTCACAACTTCTTTATGATTTAAATTCATTCTTAGAAGTGTTTATGGCTACATTTGAAGAAAGTGATTGAGAACGAGTAGCAGAGACAAAACTCTTATCTTTACAATAAGGATTACAATTAGCCACCACATATACTATTGAATTCTGAAACCTCGCTTGCAATGTGGATTAGAATGACAAAGCACTTATCAATCAATTTTGATATGGATTTAAAGATAAAATCAAAGATTTATTATTAACAAAGCAAAATCTTTGAAATAATTTATTTTTTAAGCCATTGCATGCAACAATTGATTATTTGAAAGACATCAAGGACAAAGACTTGGCGAGAGATGAATAAGTTAAGTAATGGCAATAACTCCTAAATTTTTTGAAAGATATTCATCAATGCTAAAACCAATGCAAATTGATACGATATATTTTAAATCCCTCACGGAGCAAAAAAAGATTCAACGTTGCTAACACGGTTTGTATTTATATTATGGAGAAGCTAAGTACACTACTCAACATTGTATAAAGAAGCAATGCAATTACAAAATGAGGAGTACAATTATCAAAGAAGATAATGTATCGAAAAACAAGTTTTTTTTAGCTACAATAGAAACTGTGTAGTTAGAATCATGTACAACATCTAATAAAGGTCCTATTCTCTCCTCAGACCCTTCATCTTGTCTTACAATAGATATACGTTTAGTACCTAAAAATCACAAAGTCTTTGCCTTATTAGATTTAAGAGCATCAACATGTTTTATAAAAAAAGATTTTGTCAAAAATCAAAAAATATTTTTAATCAAGAAAACTAAACCTCTACATGTAGAAGTCAGAGATAGTTCTTGATTTTCTTTTAAAAATGTTATCCATGAAATTATTCCTTTAGATGTAGCAATTAAAGCTCAAAACAGTATAGTAGTATTAAATATAATAAGATCTCCCTCTAATTTGGTTATTTTAGTATTATTATGGCTAAAAAAATATAATCCTCAAATAGATTGGATTTTTTGTAACCTCTATTTTTTTAATAGTATAATCCAAGATCGGGTTAATAAAGGAAAAGTACATAAATCTAGTACATCCAAACCTTTATTAGCACGTGTAAGAGCTTTCATGCATGTTGCAAAAGAAGGATTATCTTTTGTTATATATGCTACGCCTATTTCTAATGCTGAAAAAATGTGAAGTGGTATTTCTAACCAATATCAAGAATTCTAAGACACTTTTGAAAAAAAAAATGTAAATATTCTTTCAGATCATCAACCTTATGATTGTTCAATTGATCTATAAGAAAGAGCTCAACCACCATTTGGACCAATCTATAGCTTATGATAGAATGAGTTGGCCACATTGAAGGACTATATTGATGAAAATTTGGCAAAAAAATTCATATGCCATTCTAAATCTCTAGTCGGGGCTCTTATCTTATTTGTAAAGAAGAAAGATAGATCTCTACAAATGTGTGTGGATTATCGAGGACTCAATAAGATCACCATAAAAAATAGGTATCTTTTGCCTTTGATTTCAGGACTTTTTAACC